CGCCACAATAGCTGTGCTGAACAAGATTTGGAGAAATTTGCTTGACTGTGGCACCTGGGAGCCAAAAAGGCCTCAGCATTGCCATGGTAACAGGGTGTACTTTTTCTGAGAGAACATTGTCTTTTTCAGGAGCGCCAAAGACCCAGATGAAAGGCCAGAGACAGTCACCATGCTCTCCTAAGCACATGGGATATAGATCTATGTGTGTGTGAGAGCTAGCTTATATTCATGGATGAATACGTAAGATGTTAAACTGGATGTTTTTAAAGGGTACATTTTCTTCCTGAAACTCTATCTATGCCTGTACAAATCTGTCTTCTCATGGAAAGAGCTACAGAATCGAAAGATTTCAATGTTTCAATGATTTACAGTTGCAAACGTGCATCTGCTAGTTCCTTGCCCGTGCTCTATTTTGAAGAAACAACATTCTGCATTTCAACCTCAGAATCTCCGGTCATAGAATATAGAATTAAAGAAAAAAACACACACACATTTTATCTCAATTTTTTGTCTTACGCTCACCTTACATCTTTCATCAGGACATTTGTAAGAACAGAGAAATGTTAGCCGTCGTTGCCATGGGATTTGAATACGGGAGCTAGTGAAGTCTTGCTTCAGTTGTATAGGGGCTTGGTTTGACTGCACCAGGAGTACTGTGTGCAGTTTTGGTCTCCTTATCTCATGAAGAAGGATATTATTGCCGTAGAGGGAGTGCAATAAAGGTTCCTCAGACTTTTTCCTGGGATGGTGGGAATGCCCTTGGAAGATAAATTGGGCCAACTGGGCCTGTATGCTCTAATATTTCTAAGAATGTAAGATGATCTCGTTGAACCTTAGAAAAGACTTGGGAGAGACAGTCTAGATACAAGTAAGATGTTACTCCTGGTGAGGAGTCTAGAACCAGGGACATCAATTTAAAAATAAGGAGGATGCCATCGGATCCAAGATTAGGAGAATTTTTTGTTTAAACTCAAGAGTTATGAACATTTGGAATTCTCTAGCACAGAGGATTGTGGAAGTTCAGTCTTTAAGTATATATAAGGTGGTGGATTGATAGATTTCTGGTTACCAGTGGTGTACAGGATAATGGGGACTGAGGAAGTAAGAGACTTTGAATCAGCCATGATTGTACTGAATAGTGAAGCAGACACAATAAGCTGAATGGCCTACTCCCACTCACACATGCCTATACTTGCCCTTGAACAGATTTTCAGAAGGGAGTTAAGTGTTAACCACATTGTTGTGTGTCTAAAATCACATGTCGGCCAGATGTGGTAAGGATGGCAGACTTCCTTCCCTAAAGGAACTGGTGCTTTTCTGTATTTGTTACATGGCTGTAAGATTATTTACACTTGCTGTGATAACAAGCTCGACCAGGAGACCTTTTCTGCAGATTGCTTTAGCTCCTGGTTCAATCCTGTGTTCTTCAAAGGATCTTCTTCAGAGCCCCAGGAGCAGCAGTACACCATCACCTTGTTATATGCCTTTACTGCCAAACCAACTTATCGAATAATGGACAAACAGGCAAATAAATAACATTAATATAATCATTGATATATTTGCCAGAGAGGCTGCACTGTGCTACTGCCAAAGAAACTGATAAATAATGAATATGGTCCACAATCCCTAAAATAATCTATATTTTATAGCTAACTTTTATATATTTTCTTAATCCCTTATCGTCTACAGAGGATCTACACATCCTGACCTTCTCTCTACAACAGTTCCAGACTGGCTCACTGTTTTGAGCAGTCTAAGCTGATAAATACCCCAGAGAACAATTACAGGGGCTCCCGGATTTGAATAACTATCAGCTAAACTCAAAAGGAGCCGCCACACAGACTTACGACTGAGTGATCATGCTGTACTTTGAGTTTGAATTGTACAAATTAGCTCCTCCCTCAAACCAGCAGAACTGATCAGCAATTCTTGTAACATTTGTATTGACGTTGGATACAGAATAAATGCTGAGTGTGGCTGGTTTTTAACTCTTTATGACCCATGGCTGAACCAAAGTCATCACCGAGAAATTGCAAGGAGAGCTTTTTGTGGATCTTCCATCGCTCATAAATTGTCGCGTCTGAATGGTTTAGAAATGATTGTGCCCTCCTTACTGACCTTGGCCACAGTCAACAGCAGGAATTATTGTCCATATGTTGATGGGCGAATGTTTGTAAAGTCCTGCCGAAAATGGGATGTTGATGCATGCACTGAGTATAAAATATGAACCATTGGTGATGGTGCAAAGGGCCCCATTTCTGTCCATCAGTCACCATGTAAAGTCTACTCTGTGTGGGCTTCTGTTATACTCCTGCACATCTCCTCGACGGCATGGTCAATATCCCCGGACGATTCCATGTGCTGACTGATAAGGGGTAAGGGTAACTTCATTGTGTATCTCTTAGCTGATAAAATGAGACCAACTCCAAATGTGTGTACAGCCTTAAAGGTGTATAAAATAGTTTAAAAATTCAAGATGTTGACTTGTACACAGGGTATAGCATTTTGGTGCTGAAAAGATAGTTTTTCTTTTACATGCAGAATTGATGTGTAAATTGTGATTTGCTGTAACTAATCAGGCCAAAACATTGTGTATTTTCAAGAAGGAGGTCAGTTTAGCTCTTGTGGCTAAAAGCATCAAGGGATATGGGGGGATGGTGGGATTAGGATATGGAGTTCAATGATCAACTATGATCATAGTGAATGGTGGAGCAGGCTTGAGGCATCGAATGACCGACTCCTGCTCCTATTTCCTATGTTTCTATGCAACTTAAAACCTAGGTACTGACTTTCAGGTAACATTAAATATTTGTCTGTTCTTGTGGCTGGTATTCCTGAATTCGCTCCCTACCCCGCAATGCCTCAACTTTAAAGACCTCACTCGTCCTTGTGTTCCAATCCCTCCATTGTCTTGTATCTCCTCATCCTTGTAACCTCCTCTCACCTTAAACTACATTTGGAAGCAGGAAGAGAAGTCATTGCAGGTGATTTCCTGGCTAAAATTTTTAAAAATTTATTTATGGGATGTGGGCATCACTAGCTAGGCCAGCATTTATGCTCTGAGGGCAGTTTGGAGTCAATTACATTGCTGGGGGTCTGGAGTCACATGTAGGCCAGACTGGGTAAGGATGGCAGTTTCCTTCCCTAAAGGGCATTAATGAACCAGATGGGCTTTTCCTCTAACAATCAGCAATGAATTCATGGTTATCATTAGGCACTTAATTCCAAGTTTTTATTGGATTCAATTATCACCATCTGCCATGGTGGGATTTGAACCTCTGTCCCCAGAACATTATGCAGATCTCTGGATTAATGGTCCAGTGATTATACCATTAGACCATCACCTCCCCATGAGGTTGATCAGAATGGAAACAGGAAGGAGTGCAGTCCCAGCCAGTATCAAGATGTTAGTGAGGAGCTATTGGAGGAGGAGGATGGGGTCAACTTTGTCAGAGATTGCAGAATGGGCCAATGAAGAAAAGGAGACATAATTCACCCCTGTTGCAGACAAAAAGGATGTCATTATTGACTTTCTGATATGGCTTCCTGGATTAGAGGGAATAAAGCATGTGGTTCCAGGAAAGATAAGCAATCATTTTAGAATTCAAGTTCATTGGCAATGAATGGGGGGAGGAGATAGATGGACAGATGGGAGTGTCAATGGTTGCAACTTTGAGGAAGAAAAGTGACAATGGTAGATTTAACATCCAAAGCTAGAGGGCTGACAACAATATTGGACATCAGCATTGTGGAGGAGTAACTGAGTCTAAATGTTTCTAATACACAGATAGATATTTGGACGCCGTGAAAGAAAATATACCTAAAATTAACTCAATGACAATTACAACATTTAAAAGGCATCTGAATGGGTACATTAATAGAAAGGGTTTAGATGGATATGGGCCATTTGCTGGCAAATGGGACTAGATTAATTTAGAATAGCTGGTTGGCATGGACGAGTTTGACCGAAGGGTCTGTTTCTGTGCTGTACACTCTATGACTCTATATACACGTTACATTTCGGTGAGCATTTCCAACGAACCTGTTAAAAACCCTTAGTGTTCGTCTGACTAACTTTAACATGTATTTAAATCGGCATTGAACGGTTTAGCGGACATAGTTTTGAGGAAGCAAGGAGTGGGCCTCAAGGACATGTTGAGGTCAGAGTGAGTGTGAGGAGAGGTTACAGAGGAAGATCCAAGTTCAGGGGCTGGGGCAGGGGGAGAATTAGAGGCTGTTTGGCCAGGCAGGCTATGGGGAGGGAGGAAATTGGAAAAGGCAGCTTAGAGAATGGTCTAAATCTTAGTGATAAAAGAAATCCAGAAACTTTTCGCTGTTTGAGTTGGAGGTGAGGCTTGAAGAGAAGGAATGAATGAGATGGGGTGAAAGTAAGTCCAGAACAGTTCACCAAGTGCTGATTGAACTTCGTTTTTTTTATTATTGAACAGACTGTACTATGTTGCCAGAGTAGGAGTAACAGTCTGATGTCTCTGCACAAGGTCCCTCAGCAAAACTTCAGGCAAAATGCCCAGGTTCCCGCCATCCTCTGAAGACTAGTAAATCCCAAAATAGGATGAAATAAGCGGGACCATCATCCAAACGGCTCCCTGTCTCTGGAATCCGACTGTGCCATCCTGGGACACGTTATGAAAGGTGTCAATCAAGATGCACACCTCCCCCCCACCCCATACAGGACATAGCCCCATCCTATTGGAGCAGAAGCATTTTGTGGGAGGCTCTGTGGTCCTGGGAGTTGCGCTCTGATTGGAGTGTGTGTTATGTAACGTTCTTGCATAAGGAAGAAAAGCCCTTAAAACGATAAAAGCTCTCATTGGTTCCAAGCTGACAGAGGGACGGAGGGAAACGTTGAGACCCCAAATCAGGGACAAGAAACTGCAACCCCGGGCTCAGAAAGTGACAACTGTGCCTCGTGTGAGTATTTCAAGTGTTTAGCTTTGAGTTCCGCAACAGAATATCTTCTAAAAATAATACATGTTGCAAATTATAAACTTCACCTCAGCACTCCCATAAAGATTTCCGTCTTGTCTTTAATGCTTCCTCATCAATTTTAGATGTACAGTAATTTCCTTATGTGTTAAATTAGCTTTTAAATACCTATGGATGCAATAATTTTATAGAGTTATATTTAATTTTAAACTACGAAGTAGAGTGATTTAAAAGCCAGAGCGGGCATTTTAAAAAAAAGGAGCCAGAGCGCCGATTAGACAAATTCTAATTGTGTGAGTAGGACCTGCGTTTCACTAAATATTTCAGGCTTGTTTTGTTTAATAATGGTTAACTCGGCTCTCGGACACCAAACCCTCTCCTCCTGTCAGGGCAAGAAGTTTACTTAAAAGTTTGGCCGATTTCGAGTCAACTTGTGTTGATGAGGAAATACAGTAGTGGGACCATTGTCCAATGTTGCAAGCTGATATTACTGCAGAGTAAGAGGTAGCTATCTCTCTCAGTCATTACTTGTGATGTGCCAAGTGTACTGCTGCCTCATTTGTCCTGTAAATCTTAAGGTTTCTCTTTTTAAAAAGCAAATCTCTCTCTCTTGCAGCTACCACTGATTCTCCACCTCATAAACCTCCCCCCCTCCCAATTTCCCCCTCCCTCCCTCCCCACCCTCAGACAGCTTCACCCCAGCCTGAGGATGCTGTTCTCGCTCCTGCCTCTCTTATCTCTTCTCCACCTGGTGCTCCCGCAGAGAATCGTCTTTACAGCCGTGACCGACACGGTCCTCCCTCCCGACTACGACAATAATCCGACCCAGCTTAATTATGGAGTGGCAATCACTGATGTGGACAACGACGGAGAGCTGGAGATAGTGGTGGCCGGGTAGGTGCGTCCCCTCACAATAGCTGGTAAAACTCAGCCTTAATCTATGTGAGAGATTAGATATCAGCCCTAATGAGATATCTTCATTAAGATCATTCAGCGAAAACGTGGCTGTCTGTGCAGGATGTCTGCAGCTATGCTTGTTGTCTGTAGCAAAAAAAAATTGATGTGATATATGAACTGTGCTTGTACACGAGACATTTATGTGTGTGTGTGGACAAACCCATATATGATTATATATGGACCTAAGTATGTACCTGATTATATTGGGATGCAGCTTTACACAAGGGACTGGTTACTGGTCTGCAGATAAAAAGATGCAGAGCAGGGGCTTACTTTTAAACACCAAACAATCATTGCTGCAGTATTACGGTGTGTATTGTACATGACCGGATATGGATATTGTATGTCAATTCAGCTGCAGTTTTCTCTTAAAGGGCCGCTGTTGGTTTTGTAAAAGATTTAAGAAGCTGGTTGTGATGTTGTTGTGTTGACTGCCTTGTGCTTAGAGCTATGTCCCTTTCTCAGATTTCTTTGGCCTGTGGATCTACGACCAGTCCCTTGTGTTAACTCTCTTTGCAGTACCTCTGTGGCTTGGTATCCCCTCCAACCACCTGCCTGGACAAAGCCTGTCATTTTCTCATTATTTCTGATTCTGCAGCACCATCTCCATCTCCCCCTCTCCCCCCCCCCCCTCCCTCCCCTCTCCTCTCTCTCTCTCTCTTCACCCCCCCTCTCTCTCCACCTCTCTCTCTCTCTCTCTCTCTGTCACTTTCCATCTCTCACTCCATCTGTTCTTTGGACTCTGTTTCTCAGCTGCAGAGATTACAGGGTGACAATTGGTCCTGGTGTCCACTTCCGCAGACCAAATTTGGCAAGAAACCTGTCTCTAAATTAACAATTTAGCCCACACCCTCATCACCCCCACTCTCAACAGATTAAGAAAAAGAAATTGAAATTCCACATGACATGACCTTGCTGAAGTTCACACACCCTTGTGTTACATTTTTCTTAAAACAAAATTGGAAAATTCAAACATAGTGGAATTGGATAATGTCAGTGATATTTAAAAGAATTTTAGTGAGATAGTGTGAAATTATGGCTTTTTCAACAGTCACATCTGATGCTTCTTTCTGTTTATTGTTTTTTGTTTATTTGCCCCCAGCATCCCTCCTGGGATCACCCTTTACAGCTATTATGCTGAAACTCAATATGCACTTTAGAGGGAAAAAAATCACTTTGTTTTACTATAAAGTGTTGTTTATCTTTTGTGTGTCTTGTGCTCAAAAATACAGACCTCTTATGAAGATGTTTGGGCAGAATTTATTTCTACATGTGGGTTTGAGGGAGGACGGTATTTAATTCAGCTGCTTTTTCTTACTCTAGTTGATGCCCAAGTGGTGAAAATGCATCTCTTGTTCCCTTTCCCAGTTCTGGGAATCTTGTCAGTTCCTGGGAAATTCAATAGGACTTTCTCATTCAGTTTCTGAGTCTTGTCCATGTTGGCTGGCTCATCCAATATGACTGTGTTGTGTCAATGTGATGCCGGTCTCTTTCGAGCAATGGCTACTCTGAAATGCCCTTTTGCTCTGAGTAAATGATCAAGGTATGCCAAACTAAGGTGACTATATTTCAAAGTCCTACTTCTTAACTTGTAACGAGACTGTAATTGTGGATGTGTTTGTAAACTCAGAATCCTTTTCTTCATTCTTAAAGGGTTTCATTCTTATTTAAAAAATGTTAGAATTTTGGTAAGGAGCTACATTGCCTCTTAGGGATAGAGTCAGCACTGGTTCTTGTGTCCTGTGATCTTGCTGCAAAGTGGGTTCCAGTGACCAGAAAGAGAAATGAGGAAATCACTGTGACTGGGAATTCTTGTGATGTCAGCTATTGCATTAATTCTTGGGATGAAGGGTTCGTCCATCAGGAGAGATTGAATAGACTGGATTAAATCCTCTGGCCTTTAGAAGAACGAGTGGTAATCTCATTGAAACCCATGGAGTTTTTAGAGGCATTGACAGGGTAGATGCTGAGAAGCTGTTTCCTATAGGCTGGGGAGTCCAGATCCAGGGAGCACAGTCCGAGGAGAAGAAGTTAGTCATTTTGGACTGAGATGAAGGGCAATTTCATCACTAAGAGGGTTGTAAGTGTTTGGAATTCTCTACCTCCGAGGGCTGTGGTTGCTCTATCATGGAATGTATTCACAAATAGACCATTGAATACCAAGGCAATCGAGAGCTATGGCGACAAACATGATCGAAGAGTTGGGAAGATCAGCTGTGATCTTTTTGAATGATTTTTTTTTTTTTCTCCTAGATCGTATGCTCAGTTGGATGGAGTATTGGCCACATGCCATCTAGAATGACTGACCAGTAAAGTTTGTCCCTCAGGAAGGAAATAGTAATCCTAGAAAGGGTGCCGTTCTGATTTATCAGAATTATTATTCGGCCTTGGAGAGTGAAATTATGAGATCAAGTTCCATAAAATTGCCCTGAGTATGAAGATTGTAGGGTAATCTAATGCAGGTGTTTTAAAATGTTAGAAGTATTTGACAGGATAGGGAAGGCAAATCTTGTCACGCAGGTGGGCAGTGTCCCTATCTCTGGGCTAGGAGTTCTATGTTCGAGCCCAGTACCAGGGCATGTTGGCCACAGAAGATATGGTCAAACAGTTTGATTGACAGCCTGTAAATCTGTCCAATACCAATGTTGGTAGGCATAAGATTGAGAGAGGTTTCTATCACCATCCTGCAGAAGACAATGACCCCACCCTTGGAAAACAAGGACAGGAGAAAAGACTGATGGATAGAGAAGGAAAAATAAGTTCCCCTTATGGGGAAATCAAGGGCAAGCCGAAACGTAAACTTCAACTCAGCTCATTTAAGAGGGAAATCAGGCAGAACTTCTTCACACAAAGGATAATGTCTTTTCCAGACAACTGAGGCATTGGGTGAATTAGAGCTTTTACAATTGGAATAGATTGTTATTGCATGATTAAGTGGCGTACTGAGCAAAGACAGGGAATGGAATTGAGGTACAGATTAATAATGGACGAGAAGCTGAGTGGTCCACTTCTGTTATGATGTGGATAAAATAGGATGATGGTGGGAACTACATGAGGAGTGGTTGAGGACTCTGGGTCTGTACTTGATGGAGTTTAGAAGGATGAGGGGGGGATCTGATTGAAACCTACAGAATACTGAGAGGCCTGAATAGAGTGGACGCGGAGAAGATCTTTCCATTAGCAGGACAGACTAAGATCCGAGGGCACACTCTGAATGAAGGGACAACCCTTTCGAACTGAGATGGGGAGGAATTTCCTCAGCCAGAGGGTGGTGAATCTGTGGAACTTATTGCTGCAGAAGACTGTGGAGGCCAAGACACAGTGTATTTAAGACAGAAATAGATAGGTTCATGAGTAAAGGGATCAAAGGTGACAGGGAGAAGGCAGGATAATGGTGGAGCAGGAGAATGGTGTGGAGAAACACATCAGCCATGATCAAATAATTGAGCAGACTCCAAGGACCAAATAACTTAATTCTGTTCCTACATCTTATGGTCTTAGCGTGGTGGGATTTTTGATGGAGAGTACTTAAGACATTCAATATTTCTGGGTCTGGGAAAGTCGAGGCTGTGGGTCAAAGAATTTGGGATGTGACCCACTTTCTTCTTTTTTGTTAACACTGTTGAGACTAGGGCCTTCAATCCTGTGTTGCCTCCTTCGCTGTGATGCTCAAAGGCATGCCAATACCACTGCACCAGTACACCACTGTACGCCTAATGTCACTGAACTCTGATTGGTTTCTTTTGAGAAAAGAGCTAGTTAAGTAGATCAAAATTTTTTTAAAAATAGACTTGAGTCACAAATCACCCTCCGACATTGGGTCATAAGGCATGGTTTGGTCAGATTGGAGGCTCCCATAAGGTGATCACAAATACTATGTTTCTTATTTTAGTTTTTGCTGCTAATGATCCCAATCCTTGGGCTTCTCGGTGAGGTCAATGTCAGGTCACACTGACAGCGGAGTGGGACTTGGGAAATCTAGGTGTTTTGCTGAGTGAATGTTGAGGAGTCTGGGGCAGAAACTATATCAACATTCAAGATCAGGTTTTTTTTTCCCTTCACTCCTGGGCTGTGGGAGTTGCTGGCTAGGCAGCATTTATTGCCCATCCCTAATTGCCCAGAGGGCAATTAAAAGTCAACCACATTGCTGTGGGTCTGGAGTCACAGGCCAGGCCAGACCAGACAAGGATGGCAGATTTCCTTCTCTAAAGGATGGATATGTTATACTCTTAATTCCAGATTTTAAACGAATTCAGAATTCACCATGGCGGGATTCAGACTCAGGCACCTGGAACATTATCAGGGTCTCTGGATTAATAGTCTAACTACAATGCCAATAGTCATCTCCCTCCCCATTGGCTGGGTGGAGAAAGAAAGATAGTGTTGAATGCACAGGACAAGGAAACACTTTTTAATTCACATGGAGTAAGTGCCAAGGGACCTGGCTCATTTCTCCAGAAAACAGAGGGCTGAAAGGTGACCTTATTCAATACTATGAAAGGGTGGAATAGGTTAGAGATGTAGAAGATGTTTCCACTTGTTGGGGTCACTGGTATGACAAGTGTAAAATACAGCAGATGATATAAATCTGAAATAAGAACAGAAGATATTGGAAACAATCAGCAGGTCAGGCAGCATCTATCATAAATAATGAAATAGTCACCGATAAATCCGATAGGGAATTCAGGTGAAACTCAGAATGGTTAGAATGTAGAATTCACTACTACAGGGAGTAGTTAACATGGCAAGCATATTCATTTTAAGTGAAAGCTGGATACATATAAACCTACTACCAAGGAGCAGAAATAAGCCACTCAGCCCTTCAAGCCCGCTCCCCCATTCAATAAGATCAAAGCTGATCTGTTGGTGTTTTGATTCACAAATTCTCAAACCCATGATAACCTTTGATTCCCTCTCCTTAAAAATATTTAGTGGCC